GCACTTCGCAAACCTGCGGTGGCTCGGCCGCCCAGCCGCAGCTCCGTCACCGCCCGACGCGGGGACTACAGAGCCCGGTGCATTGTGGGAAGCAGAGCCTAAAACTGAGCCTGCGCTGACCCCTGGTGGGCGCAGCTCCAAAGGGAGCCCTGGCCCCGCGGCGGGCGAACTTGCAGGAACCGGGAGAGTTGCCGCTCAGAGGGGAAGGCTGACTGCCCACTCAGGGCTACTGCAGGAAGCCAGCATTTGTTGCAAAACGCTCACATCTCGGTAAGATATAAAAATAAACCAGGTGCTTTAGAAGTGCCTGGGGCCACCTCCCACATAAGTATAAAATTAAAGCAACTTTTAGACGAGGGAAAGCTTTTTAAACTAGGGGAAAAAAAACTTTTAAAATTGTAAGACTGAATGATGTCAAGATTTAGGAAAAAATCTGCACACTTAGTTTTATTTCTGGTGGAACCACAGGCTCAATTAGTTAAAAGAATAATGGATTAATATGTAACAGGAAGTACTACACTATGTAATCCAGGACTTTCTCTTCTGGGTATATACCTGAAGGAAATAGTTCAAAAGAAGTAAAAAAAAAGATAAATTATACAAAAATGTTCATAGTGAATAATTAGAAAATAACAAATGACTAATAATATGTGAAAGGCACAAGCATAATATGTCGCTATTTAAATAACACTATGAACATTATCACTATGTAGAAATATTTCTATCAAATAAGGTTAAATGAAAAACACAACACAAGAAAGCACATGGCCAATGATTCCAAGTATGTGATAATACTGTATACGTGTTGACAAATGTAAAAAGAAACTTTGGAGCAATGTAAATAGTTTAGAGTTTAATGTGTCTTAAGATTATTTTACTGTGTTTTATTTTTTTTATTTATTGTCTAAAGTTTTACATATGTCTCCTTTTACCCCGATTGACCCCCCCCCCAAGCCATTCCCACCCCTATTATTATTATTTTATTTATTGTCTAAAGTTTTACATATGTCTCCTTTTACCCCGATTGACCCCCCCAGCCATTCCCACCCCTATTATTATTATTTTAAATCCTCACCAAGGATATGTTTTTATTGATTTTTAGAGAGAGAGAGGGAAATGAAAGAGAGAGAGGGAGAAACATTAATGCAAGAGAAAAATATCGATTGGTTGCCTCCCATATGAGACCCAACCAGAGATGGAACCCACTACCTAGGTATATGCCCTGACCATGAATCAAACCTTTTGGTGTACTAGATGACGCTCCAACCAACTGAGCCACCCAGGGGTGGAATTGCTGGAAGGAAATAGGGAAGTTGTAAGAGATTAAGTTGAAAGGCTTAAGATTCTTTTATTTTAATTAAATAACTTTTCAAACATTTCGAAGTTGTTGGGACTATTTCTAATTTTGGATAGCATTGCGATATTTCAGTTTCCCCTCAAAATAATTAAAAAAAAATTTACCTAAAAAAAGTTCTAAGGTTTTAGAGACCATGATAGTTTTGCTTGTCAGCAAATGCTGGTGGGGCACAAAAGAAAAGTCTGTTTATTGGACAGTGTATTCGTTTGCTAGGGCTGATGTAACAAACCGGGTAGCAAACAACAGAAATGTGTTGTCTCACAGTTCTGGAGACTGGAAGTCTGAGATCAACATGTTGACACGATTGATTCCTCTTGAGGCATGGGAAGAAAAAAATCTGTTTCAGGCTGCTCTCTTGGCTTGCAGATGGCCATTTTCATGTTCACATGGTATTCTCCCTGTATTAGTGCCTGTGTCCAATTTCCCTTTTTTATAAGGACATCAGTCATGTTGGATTAGGGGTCACCCTACTCCAGTATGAC